ATATGGAAAGAAACAGTTGAATATGATGAACTAACAATCAATGAGCGACAAAAAGGAGACGAAACTTTCTTTAAGATGCTTGATTCTGTTAGGCATGGCTGTCTGACTGATAAAACTAATGATACGCTTAAGAGTCACATATTTAAGGTTTCAATACAAGAAAAATATAAATTGGAAAGTGAAGGAACAAATCCTCCGATTTGTCTATTTTCTAAGGTAGAGGCCTGCCAAAAAATCAATGAATTAATGTTAGAAAGTCTAGAAACTCAGAAAATAGAATTCGCATGTGTTGATGTTGATGAAAGTGGCAGCACAGCAAAATTTGACAAAAAAACAAGAAAAAAAAATAGAGAAACTAAAAGATCAACCAAGCAAAACAGCTGGTTTAGAAACTGTATTGTCTTTAGCAGTAGGCTGCAGAGTAATGCTAAGATGTAATATTGATGTGACTGTAGGATTAGTTAATGGTGCCATTGCTACAGCAATGGATATTCATGCTACACATATATCAATCAAATTTGATCATATTGATGTACCTTGTGACGTAGAAAGGGTTACATCTAGATTTATGCTATCTAAGAATTTGCATATACATAGGAAACAGTTTCCCATAATACTTTCTTATGCTATTACTATACATAAATGTCAGGGCCTCTCACAAGATACAGCCGTTACTGATTCATCGACTAATGTTTTGGGAATAGTATGACATATGTTGCATTGTCTCGTGTACGTACATTAAATGGATTACATTTATTATCATTTCATCCTTTGTCTGTTAAAGTTAGTAGTCCGTGCATTAACGAAATTAACCGCCTCAGAAGTAAATTTCAGAATGACTTACCTCAAATCAAGAAAAGTAAAGGAAAGAAGAGAAAGATTCAAGTGACTGGTATAATTAATGATGGTGAATCTTGTAGTAAGAATGCCAAGGTGTCTGTAAGTCATGTACAAAGTACTAGTAACAGTACCGTTAGTAGCAATAAATGTAAGAGTACTGATTTACAAAAGTCTAATCGCTCCAAAAAGAGAGAAATCTGTCACGATAATGCTTTAAATAATCCTTGCCCCCAAAAAAGAAAAGTTGATGTAGACAGTAGTACTGACAATACTGCTTTGGTAGTGCCTCGCTCAAAAAAAGATGATAAATTGTTTTAATTAATTTGAAAGACCTAAAAACCAAATTTAATGTCCTAGATGATGATAGATGTAGTAGTGTCATTGTATCTATAAAACTCTCAAACATTAAATGTAAACCAAAAGATGATAAAACCAAGTGTGTTGTAATAAATGACCATTGTAGTTGAAGTCTGATTGTATCTATAAAACTCTTAAGCATTAAATTAAAGACAAGTAATCCAAAAAAAGATGATGTCATCTTTACTAATGAAGAACCTCCCAACCCAGATATTGTGAGAAGGAGACAATGGGTTTATGTTTATTACCCTGGTCATGACGAATTTTAAAGAAGATGGTGTGAGATTTTAAATCTCAATTTGGTGACAGCTGCTAGAATCTTACCTGGTAGTCCAACAACACCATTGTCAGATGAAAGAGTTCCTAATAGTACTCTTGATGTCCCTGGTGATTGGAACTGTTTATTTATGCCCTTTTATATCTCAATACTGGATCAATTTCTCAGCATTACAATTTACGTAAAGCAATTGTTAGTAATATGCCAAAATTTAAAGAATTGTTTAATAGTACATTAAGTGCAACCAGATATTCAAGCTTATAGGATTATAATTAAGTCCAAAATGTATAAAAATTGTGTGTGGGCCACTGACACAGATTATGACACTAACTGCAATATTAGGTACAACCATATATTTATATTCACTAACTCCTACTTTTGTTGGCTGGGCTAGATATGTAACCCAAACTTTTTGTGGCATTCCTTGTGATACTAATACACCTGCTTTGTATTTGAAGCATGTTGGTACTAATCATTTCCCAGCAGTTAAGTCTATTAATATTTCTTAAGCATTGATTGTTCATGAAAAGTGGGTATGGTGTATGGGAGGTCCATCATATGAAAAACATTGGTTGTTTAATGTGACTGATATTTCACTGCATGTGCAATGTGAATGATGTGTGAGTGTGAAAACCATTGGTGCATATTCACTGAGTATTGCTCAGTATCGAGGAATCAAATTGCATTGAGGATGTGAGATTAATGAATGTATAACAGTGAATTTTGATTACTTATTGCTATAATGGACGGGGAGAGGGTGTGAAATAGATTTGGTGTTCATTAGAGTTTTGCGTTGATTCAAGTTTGTGTGACAATCATTTATGTAGGACAGAGGGTTAGGAAGGGAGGAAGCTGTCATTATCAAGTCTGGATCTTGTTTGTGGCTTGTACTACATGTTTATTACAAATAACAGGTGCTTATGGATCTGGGCTCTGCTGAAGAAATTTGAAGTCCTGACAAGAAAAATTTTTTAAGTAACATTAACAGTAGTATTATTCAAGCAGTGATTCTGTACATATAATAATGATCATCATGCATGTTAATGCTGCCATCAATGCTGTGCGCATTATTACGTTAATGCTTGCCGGCTGATGTTGCACATTTGAATGATGCTGCCATCAATGCTGTGCGCATATTTAATGCTTGCCAGCTGATGTTGCGCATCTTTCATTGATGATTGTTGTAACATGTGCATGTTCTCATTAACAAAAAAATATTGTTGCGCATTGGAAATTCTTCATGTACACAATGTTATATTATATATTAAGCAGGTCATGGAAGTACTTTAACTGAAGATAGCATTAGTAAGCAATATGAATACATGCATGCACATACATGTATGATCCAATCAGAAATATTGTAGATGCTACCATTATCATTATTAGTTATTATGTCACTTTCATACATTGTACAGGCAAAAGACTACTGTGTGGTGTTAATGAGTGAGGTTGATGTGATTAATAATAAAGTTTGTTCACAATTACTGTTTGTGCTATTGTTATTATTAGCCTGTGAGTTTACATTTCTTACCTTTGATATGTTTCTATTACTATGCTCTACAGGTAATTACAGCTGGAAATGATTTGCTGATTCAGCAATACTTTTGCTTGATATTGGAATGTGCAATATAATGAAAGGCAATTGTATATTTAGATTGTTGTAACTAAATTAATTTATGCATTAAATGTTATGTAATGTTTTGTTGCACCTCCTTGATTAGTAGTTGTATCATGCTGTAGGAGGTGCCAGTTTACATCTGTATAGGTTTCATATTACTGTAGTCTTAGCAATGGAATATGTAGTAAAATGGGGAGAGTATTGTGAGATGTCTTATGTATTTTGTTATACACATAGGATATGATTCTAGGTGACATACTGTATATTCGTTTGATGATTATATCATTAATTATGGCCACAGTAAGTACTTTCTTTACTCAGTATAAATGAATGCTAGTCAATGCATCTTTATTTGTGTGCATTGATGTTCTCATTAACAATACAATAATAATTGTTTGCACATTGGAATGTATTCATGTGGTCTATTAATGTGTATTTGCACAATGCAGGTCTCGTAAAAGAAACTTAATTCAGGATGGCATGAGTCAGCAAATTCAACATTGTATGTCTAAATTACATGTGCAGTGTATGTACATATACTTGTATGATTCAATCATAGCTTAATATGCATTGTGGAGCTATACATGTCATATATGTATATTAATTGTTGATAAATGCATGTATGCTACTGTTAATTTGTTAGTACATGAATAATTTCACATTCATAATTTACACAGGTACATATTTTACACAAGGACTGCAATGTGGTGTTAAAGAATAAGGTCAGACTTGGAAAGAGATTTAAAAGGTGAAGGGTTATTCTTCTTTGTGAGCAGATATATCTTATTAGTGGTTTGTAATGTATGTTTGCTACAAACATAAGTCATATCATGCATATACATGTACATATTTAGTAGAGCATATATAGCCTGTGTGTTTACATTGCTTGCTGTTGATGATGTTTCTTTCTTACTTTGCTTTAAGGTATTTACAGCTGCAAATGATTTAATGATTCAGCAATAAGGTGTAACAATACTTTCATAGCATGGTGAATGTCTAAGGCTATTGTCTGATTTCGTTTGAAGTAAATAAATTAATTTCTAATAAATAATCATCATTGTAACATTTTCTTGTTGTAGCTCTTTGATCAGTGGTGCTTTCACACTCAAGGTGGCACCAGTTTCCAGCTACACAGGTTTCATATTGTCATAGTCTTAGCACTTGAATACATAGTAAAATAGAATTTTTTGAGATTCCATAGTTTTTTATTATTGTGTTATAGGATATGATCCATGACTCTTATTCGTTTTTAAGATTAATAATGATTATCTGATTAACTATGGCCACGGTATGTATTTCCTTTACTCGTTAATATAATTAAGTAATGTGTATCACATGTATTTGTATTGTAGGAAGATTGAAGCTCACGTATTGAATTTTTTTGCGTTGTTGAACAAACACCAATTTTAAGCATTGCTTTTATAATTTCTGTTTTGACTTTACGCTTAAAGATATTTGACTTTTATTATAAGTTTTTAATTTGAGAAAAGTTAACTTTATAGATCTACATGTAAATAATAAATTAATAAAAGTTATAGCTCTTTATTGAGTTGCTGTTCCTCCTGCCCCTGCCCCTGTCTCTGCCTCTTGGCCTGCCTCTCAGAAGATTGTTGTACTAAAGTAAAATGGAATAGAAAGGTGATAAATTGGTATCTATATAAACTGCAGATAATAACTAAAATAATCTTACAATTTGTCTATTGACCTGGCGTAGCTGCCATATGAGCTGCCTCTGCCTTTGCAGAGCAGCCACATCAAGAGGAGCTCCAGCTGTATGGAGTGCTGGAGCAGCAGGGGGATGTGGCGGAGGACCTCCACCCAGCAGTGGAGGACCACCAGCCACTGGTGGCGGACCTCCAGCCAGCGGTGGAGGACCTCCATCAACTGGTGGAGGACCACCAGCAACTGGTGGAAGACCACCAGCCACTGGTGGCGGACCTCCAGCCAGCGGTGGAGGACCTCCAGCTACTGGAGGTGGCTGAGGAATTGGTGGTGGTGGTAGAGCCTCTGGTGGTGGTGGTGGTGGCGGGCCTCTGGGAAGTGGTGGTGGAGGAGGAACTCCATGATGCTCATCATAATCCATAAACTATAAGATAACATAGTGATAGCAAATGTAAGTCTGTAACTGAACTGACTTGCTTTCTCAAAAAAAGCTGCAAAGCAAAACAGCGGAGTTTTGTTTGAGAGCTGTGAGCGGAAACTGAAAAATGAAAAATGGCAACTGAACTGAAGTTGAATCTAAACTTAAATAGTTTCAGAACAGGAAAGAGATCTTAGTAATGACAATAATGATTAATTATTATGAGCTAGGCTATGAATATAATTAATGATTCAAAAGTTCAAAAAATTAATGATTGTATGAAAACTGTTTTTAAAATGTGGTATGTCTTCTTATGGTTCTTATTTCAAAATTCTTTTCTTCCAGTAATGAACTGATATCTAAGGCAAAAATTATAATTATAATTAAAACGGATTATTAATTAATAAAATTTAATAAAAAGTAAGGAAACAAGTAAATAAAAAAATTTTTATTAAATAAGAAAACGTAGGTTGTCAAAAAGTAAAAGAAACAAGTGGGTTGAATTCAACCATAATAATAATTAATTGTTCAATTAATAATAATAAACTTTAATTAATAAAAAAATAATTTATTCATAAAAATAATACAAAAATTTCAAACCCTACTTAGCAGAAATTTATAAAGGAGTATTGTTTCTTTAAAATGACAAATTTCAATGAAAGAATGATAACCAAACTGCTTAGTTCAGCCTACACAAACGTGGCAAGTCTAATTACAATTCCTAAAAAGTATATATATACAAAAATATTTTTAATTTTTGATATTGTTCTGAATCACAAAATTCAAAGAATGCAATAGCCAAATAATTATCCATAATGTAACGACCCTGATAAGTGTGAAAGATATTATAAAGTGAATAACGGAAAATAGAGCTCTTATAGCGCCAGATTCACAGAGAGGATACAACCATTTACAGAGAAGATACTGCCATTTTCTCATTAAATATTCATCCCATAAAATCAATCAATTAATTATTATACATGAATAATAAGTGTTTCCACAATAATTTAGATTTTTTAATTGCAATGACAGTAATTTATTCAATCAATACTAGCTGAAAATTCTTATTTATGTTTATCATGATAATTAATTTACATCATAGTAATTATTAAAATTCTATTTATTTTGTAGTCTGTCTGTTATCATTTTCTGCAAAGTAGGGTTTGAAATATTTGTATTATTTTTATAAATAAATTATTTTTTTATTAATTAAAGTTTGTTATTATTAATTGAACAATTAATTATTATTATGGTTGAACTCAACCCCCTTGTTTCTTTTATTTTTTGACAACCCTACTTTTTCTTATTTAATAGAAATTTTTTTTATTTACTTGTACAATTTGATTTATAATAGATTCCTATTATTGACATTAATCAATAAATTACTGTATATGAAGTATGCAATGGTAAAGCAGTGAAACAGTGCAAAGGTGCAACAGTGAAACAGTGCACAGTGCAACAATATTTCAATAGAAACAGTTCAACAGTAAAACTGTGCAGCGGTGAAACGGCGCAACAGTGTCACAGTGTACAATTGAATGGTGCAGCAGTGAAACAGCGCAACAGTGGAACAATTGCAGCTGTGAAAGTGTGCAACAGCTAGTGCAGCGGTGAAACAGTGCAGCAGTGAAATGGTGCAATGCTGGAACAGTACAACAATGCAACATGCAGCAGTGCGTCAATGCAACATGCAGCAGTGCGTCAATGCAACAGTGCAACAGTGTATAAAATGCAACAGTGCATAAAATGCAACAGTGCAACAATGCAACAATGCATCACGCAACAGTGCAACACAACAGTGCAACAGTGCATCAATGCAACAGTGCAACACTTCATCAATGCAACAGTGCAACATTGCAACACTATATCAATGCAAAAGTGAATCAGTGCTACAGAGCAAATCAATGCAACAATGCAACAGTATACAAATGCAACAGTGCTACAATACTACAATGCAATAGTGTAACAATGTAACAGTGCTACAGTGCTACAATGCAACAGCACAACAGTGAAACAATGCAACAACACTGCAGTGCAACAATGCTTCACTAATGTTGGCTGTATATGCCTTGTTATTCATTTAATCCAACATATCCAATGTTGCATTTTTGTTGCTGTGAGATTTTAATACCTAAATTTCTACACTTATAAAAAATAGGAACTAGAACCATAACTAGAACTAATATGAAAAAACTTCAGATAACTGGAACTTAACTAGAACTAGTACATAAATGTGAAGGAACTATAAAATAAAACTCAACTATTCTGAAGGAATTGAAAAGAACTAGAACTAGAACTAGGAATTTTGAACTCGAGCACTTAGTTAGTAAGGGCAATATCTCACATAATGTATGCTTTTACTAGCAAAATAGACTGTAGCTAGGACAAAAACTACTGGAACAAAAACTAGAACTATATCAGTGGCATGCTTAGTACAGGAACTAGAACTAGAACTAATACATATTATAAGTTTAGTCCTGGAACAAGAACTAGAACTATTTCAGCTATGGGTTTACTACTTGAACTAGAACTAAAACTAATATTAGTTACGGGTTTAAAAATGGAAAGACGACTGGAACTATATCAGTTACAAGTTTAGTACTGGAACTAGAACTAGAACTAAGACTAGCTACAGGTTTAGTCCTGGAACTAAAACTAGAACTAATTTTAAAAACAAGAAGTAGAACAAGACTAGTGTCTAGCTACATGTAAATTTACATTTATCAAATTTAGTGTTTTATATGTGTGTACCTTAATAGGTCCGTAAAAACTTGGTTGAGAGTACTACTTCTACAATGTTGGCTAGCTCTACAATGTTTTGTTTTTAGTATTACTTCATAATATATTCTTACAATTCTAATTTTTAATAAAAATAATATAATAAACAATAATAAAGTTATATTTTCAATGATTAATATAGTGAAAGTAAATAGATAAATTTAGAACAAGATATTGCTGCAAAATGGAACGGTAAAAAGTAGACATACAGAGTTGTTACAAAGTAGTGAATCACCAACTTCAAAACACTGAACTCTCCACTATTACCATGTCCCCAATATGGAAAGGTTTGTTGATCCTTGGACAGAATTTAACTCACAGATCACTGAATTCCTTCATTTTGAAGTCAAAGAAAGTACATGTGACTACAAAACTTATGCTTCTGGAACGCCTTTTGCTGGGAAATGGAGTGACCTCAGTCAGTCTCAAAGAAACATGCATCTCCTGTTGCTTTTGCAGTTACAATCAATGTCATTATAATAACTGCTACCATGTTAGTGTAACCTATGGCAGCTCAAGTCTAATTGTAGCTTTAGCTCTGACTTTAGATGAAGGACAAAAGGCTGAAAAGGAGCTTTCGCAGAAAGAGCACGTACAGCTAAAATACGAGCTTACAAAAAGCCAAGTAGAACTGACGGCCATTTTTATTTCAAGGACATGCCACACCTACCCTTTGTGCCACCAAAAGCCATAAATTTTCTAACTGAAGTCATGAGACTTCCTGTTTCTCATTTCAAAACAAATGATACTAAACTAAATTCATAAGAAAATTAATAATATTCACAGATATTGTAAGTATATGTATTAGTGCAATAACTATATTCATTGCTGAACATTGTTGCATTGACTTTCTTGAAATGGCATTTCAAAGATCACTACAAAATGAACGGAATTATTAATAACAAAACTCCATCAGGTAATAAAAAAGTAGTTTTATGTCATGTGATCAATGAAATGGTAAATTTGCATATTTTTTATATGTTAAAATCCATGTCCGACAAATGCCACTGTACACAAGGCAAATGAGAATTTCAGCTTCAATTGCAACTGAATCTACAATGAAAAAATGAGAGAAACATTTGCTCAGAAATTACAAGTGAGTTCATAAAGTATGGAAAGCGATGCAGGAATTTTTAAAAAATATTTAAAGTTCAATGATCTATAACTTGTAAACAGTGCTTGGTAAAAATTTAAAAAAAGCACAAGATGTACAATTTTTATTTCCAATAAAATGGCATCAATTAAAAAAATATTAAAATTTCATCAAAAAGTACCTTAACCATTAGAAGACAGAGGTAAAAAATTTATGCCATGCCATGGAGACAGCTGTAATATATTTGTGACACAATGTGTGACAAAAATGTGATAGCTGTCTTCATGACTCATAATGTATTGTCACAAATATTTGACATCTGTCTTCTGAGGGTTAAATCTAACCTGAAGTAAGTCCATCATTGATTAGTGCCATTATTGATTTATAATTGTACTTATATTTTTAGAATGGAAATATTACTCATC